TTCAAAAGAAGAAAAGGATAGGGCAGGGGGAGTTATGATTGGTTGAAAGGTACATTGAGGGGAGAGAAGGATGCCTACACCACCTCCTTTACAGTTGAGTCTCGGAGTGTGAGAGAATTGTATCCCACCAAAACATAAAGAGGCAGTAGTAGCGCTATCAGAGGGGGACAGCCAGGTCTCTGTAAGTGCAAGTAGTGTGAGTGAGTTTGAGATGAAAAAGTTGTGTACGGCTGTTGATTTTAAATTACTGCAGATGGAGCGGGTGTTCCAGAGTGCACACTGAATGTTGGTAAGTGAGGGTAAAGGGCAGGGTATTATGATGAGGTTTGTGGGGTTTCTGGTTTTCTTAGTCTGTGTAGACAAGGTTAAGGGCCCTGGATTGGGTGAGACATCACCAGCTGCTAGAAATGGGAGGAGAGAAAGTGACAGGAGGTGTGAATGGGTTTTGTATGCATGGGGTCTAGGATGAGATCGATTGTGGGTAGGAGTGAGAGATTAGAAAAATGAGTGTAAGGCATGAGATGAGAGAAGGGGGGAGTGTAGCAGAGAGGGGTATATGTAAATGTGGATGGGGATGAGTGAAGTGGGTGTAAGGAGAGCTTTAAATACTGAGGGAGAAGGAGGAAATAAAGAGGAGGAGAAGACAGATCATTGCTAAACTGGGAAAAAGTCAATTAGAAATAATTGGAATATCAAGAGCAGGTGAAGGTAGGGTAAATATTAAGTTTTATGGGTTAAGAAAGTGCAGAAGTGTACTAGAAGAGGCAATGTGTACACCTGTTTTTATCTAAAATTTGGGTGTGACAGACAATCTATAAATGTAATAATGAGCATGGGGTGGGGCGGGTATCAGACTTTCTGGGGCTTGATAATTCTGAAATCAGGCTTTGCTTATTGCAGATGATCAATGACTTGGAGTTATATTGTTTCTGGGAATACTGTATTCCACTATCCTTAGCTTATTTGCAAACAGGTGACACTTTCATTGAGCAGTTCCTAGGCGGTTATCCGCAAGCAATGGCACTCTTTCTGAGGATGTCGGGGTGTTTATTTCTGAGCAGGGGCCACTTTCTTGGACTAGCTACTTTCCCAGATGGCTAAGCACCTGTTTCTTAGGCAAATGGCTTTAAAAAATTAAGAAAAAAACCCTGTAAAAAAACTTGCTAAACTATTTGCTATTTAGGCAAATAGCGCTGGTGGTTTAAAGCTAAAATAGCTATTTGCCTGAAATTACTACTTGCCTACCACATATACACGAATCTGGAGTATGGCTGCATAACCTACCAATTATGTATAAACAATTGTTGGCGTGATGAGGCTTAGGGAACTGAAGCATAACAATAGGTTCAGTGTTCTCAATGGCCTCCATAGACATCACATCTCAATCCAAAAGACTATGTGATTTGGGATGCTGTGAATCAGGAGATTTGCAGTATGAACATGCAGTCAACAAATCTACAGCAAATCCATTATATAAATAAGTAATCATGGAACAGAATCTGTAAGGGATGCATTTAGAACCCACACCACAAAGAATTTGGGCTGTGTGGGATCTAAGGGTGAACATAGTAAAGTGGCAACTGAGTATTCAAGACAGTTAAACATTAAAAGGACACTCTAAGCACCAAAACAGCTTAATGAAGCAGGGGTATAGATCATTATTCTGCATTCTCACTGCTCAGTTCCCTGCCATTTAGGAGTTAAGTCAGGAGTTTCCCTTTCATTAAAATCCTGCAGTGCAGTGTGTTTATTTTAGAAGTTTGTATCTCCTGCTCTGTTAATTGACCTTTAATCATACACATGTGGTTTAGACTCTTTTTCAGAAATTATAATGAGAGGTTGTTTCAGTCTTAACTAGGGGAGGTGTGGACAAAGTGATTTACCTTGTAAATGGCAGAGAATTGAACAGTGAGACTGAATGGGGCATGATATATACACTAAAAAATATAAATTAAGTTACATTTGGTTTGATGTATGAGTATCCTTCTAACAATAAATATAGCAGTTTTTAACTGCAGGCGTCAGGATTTAGGCAGGTAATAGATAATATAATATCTGAGAAACACATGCAATTCTTTATTTATGTATAGAAACTATTCTTCATAATTTAGAAATGCTCTTGTAAATTCAAACCATGTATAGAAATAAAAGAAGAAAGTTTTCTTTTAATAAATACAAAGTTTCTCCACAAATATTATAATAACAGAAGTAACCTCCTGATAACATCCTGAAATTTCAACCAAGTAGACTATCTGAAGCCAGTTTTTCATGTACGTGTCTCTGCTAAGATGCTTACCATTACTGAATTGAAATTAATCAGTAAAATATGTTTGATAAAATATGATCTTGTCGGTATAAAAAAGGAAAACAGTTTTTTGTATTTCCAAAGCACGTCTTGGTATTTTATGTGTAATGGTTAAAACCTTTCTTGGCATTTAATGTTCAAATTATTTTTATTTTAGGCATTTTTTTGTATATAAATTGTCCAAGTTGCAATATTAGCAAATATTACATTTCCAGTAAAGGTTAATACTCCTGTGTATAGGATTAATCTATTAGTCTACTCATTACTGGTTTTAAATATAGCTGTCTAGACAAGGGCTTTCAATTAAAGAATATTAGTACTAAAATATTCTAAAATAGAAGGCTACTTACATACCCGTGGGAAATGTTTACTTTTGGAAGCAAGTAGACAAAACCAAAAAAAGTGTGTGTCATTTTATATAAATCAGAGCAGCAATTAGATTAAATATTACTCCAAATACACAAGATAATTACTTTGATTAAATGCTTGCTCAAAACAGTACCAAATATTTTATACTGGAAAAAAGAATGAACAGTTCTGACTTGACCTTGGCATTCAAAAGCCTTCATCAACTTGGAATATATAGTAGAACCATTCGTAAATAATCTCATCAGTAAGTATGGAATGAGGAGATACATATACCACATATCCATATGACCATATCTAAACATGAATGTACCTTTATGAGAAGTTCCAAAACAGTTATTCACTAAAGTGAGAAAGTAAAGTAAATTTAAAATTTAAGGTCAGGATAGCCAAACTAAAAACATAGCTATATTCTTTGTTTTTGTTACAATGCATTAACTAGGCTCTCCCCAAGTTAAAATAGTAATCCATACCCTTCTGTGCCTTAGGGGTATCAGTAACACCTCGCTGACGAGACCTAAAGAAGGCTGAAACAATCGTCCGAGATTGCTGTATTTCTCATACAGATAGAACTTGCCGGCATTTCGATTCTGGACTGCCCTTATGGGTGTGATCAGTCTGATGTGCCTTGATTTTATCTCTAATGGCACAAGTGAGCAAAACTATTTTTAAGACCTAAGCAGGGATTTACCGAAGGGCAATCTACTGAGTTCCTCATTTGTCTGTTCTCATATTCTTAGTTTTTAACAACATAGCTGACTTACATAATTTGTCCAGTTTGGCTATATTGACCTTAAATTTGAAATCCACTTGGAATTCACTTGGAATTCTCACTTTTGTGAATAACCCTGCAAGTATAACATTTTTAAAAAACTGAATCTTCAAATCTACCACAGATGATTTTCAGGGCCATAGATTGTGGGTCCAATGAGAACTCTGACTGCCATTTTGGAGTCAAGAAATATTTGTTTTTACTAATTTGTGGCAGAGTTGGAATTCTCTTCATTAGATCAATGTCAGTAATACAGATATGTGAAAGGATGGGTAAAATATGTGTAGGTCTTATTTAAGCCTATATTACTATGTATCCATTTAACTGTGCAAAGTAGATTTCTACATTCTTCATCCTCCTTAGAACTGGAGAATCGTGTTCCTAACGATTGTGTAATATCCCACTATCTACCGTTTGGAATTAGTTTGAGATGCAAAAACCATGACCCTAATACTTTGATGATATTAATATAGTATTTTGTACATTTGCTGTTTGTTGCACTCTATTCTCTTTTTCTCTGACACCAGCTTTGCAGAAAACGCTGACAACACGTATTTAGATGCTGGATGTTGCTATCAGTACATGATCCACAGTCTGCGCAAGATGCTTTCTTTTTATTTATGTGATTTCTTTACACAGGATGAAGCAATCAGAAATCCATTGAATGGAAACATGTCTGAGATTTTATGCTAATATACACTTGAGTACATTTTTGCTCAGTTAATATCCGTACCATTCAATTAGTAGTGTTCGGTAAATTCCAAAAGCATGCCACAGTGAAGTAAGGCTTAGTATGCAAAGAAAGACATAGGATAATGAGATCCATGTGTTTTTAACTCATTTTGTAAAAACGCATATATCATTTCCAAGAAAAAGGAGATTTCTCAATAAACACTCCTTTCTAGAAAAATATGTTCTGATTCTTTTCTAGGATCTTGAATTTTACTTTTTTTGTAAAGACGATTGCACTTGTTGAATACATTATACCAAGCAGTATAATATATTATATTTATATGATCTTGTACTTCCCAGGTATGCCACAAATGATAACAATAGAGATTTTCCTTCTGGATGTTCCACATTGGTGTAATAGGAAACTAATAGGTAATGCAGTACAAAAGAGTGTTATTCAAGTTCCAGTAGGACCGTATAAGTGTTCTTACTTTTCAAGAATCTCTGAATTTCCGTGGTCTACCTCTCTCACTGATTTCCGTTAGTTATTTACTTTTGCCTTGGGTCTTTCTCTATAAGATTTCTACCAAGCGTAGAGGATGGGGTCCTATCTTGTTACAAATTCCTGACCTGTCAAGAAGGATTTAATTATGGGCCTAATTCATCGGAGAGAACCATCAGAGACGTTGGTGACAATGTAGCATAGTCTACACATGAAATCAAAAGAACCAAAGTTCCATCACTTGGTAATTTCAGGTGCAATGTGTGTTTTGTCCAATCAACCAAAATGACAGGCAACATTTTGACATAATGTGTGTCTTTATTTATTTATAAAATATTTTACCAGGAAAGATACGTTGAGATTTCTCTCGTTTTCAAGTACATCCTGGGTCCACAAATCATTGCATTGATACAATAGGGTACAATAAAATACAAAAACAATATTAATACACAATATGTACAAATATAACCTAGAACAGGTAGGAAATATATAATCAACCATGACACGTGCATTCTGCTTTGAGGTATGTAGAGAGGGATTTCTTAAAGGACTTTAGGCTTGGGGAAGATTTTAAATCAAGCATATCGTATACATGATTTATTTACTATTTGTTTACATTGTGACGAACCTCTCCATCTAATAAATAATTAGCTATAGAGAAGGGATATGAAGATATTCATGTATATTTATTTTTCACAAAGGATCGGGATGGTTGCTATTTTCTTTTTACTTGAATTGGATGGAGAAATCTGGGAAATCATGGTTTTCTTTTAAATTTCTAGTAAAACAACATGTATGGGAACTGGTTTAAATATTTTGCTTGTTTCCAGAAGTTACAATTCCTTCCAGGTCTGGGTGATTTCATGTATGGAAGTATCTGACATGCTTCTTTTCTGGATGTAAAACAATGCTGTTCTCTTGTATGCTTCATCCCATGTCATATTGTACATTCAACATATCTGCTAAACTCACTCATCCAGCTATTAAAATGCCAGTGGCAGCACTTTCACGTTAATCTAATGGGAGAGCAAACAACCTTCATTTATATTAATAATATCTTGGCAGTGATTTTAATTTGTAATTTAGCTCCCTCTCCACCCTCTTTAACCAAAATGAATCAACTTTTGGTTCCTGATCATTTTCCCAATGAATTACAAAGAATATGTAAACAAGATAAATAGATACCTGCAGTTCATTTGAACCAGTTCTACAGAATGAATTTCCAGCTGCTACATAGAGCTATCTGATCTAAGGAAAACGCATGGAATATACACACATTTCTAGGAAAAGAAGCATTGATATACACAGCAATAACCTGATGGATAAGACTAAACTAGAAGCTGAATTGTGAATGTTACATTTGAAATTCCCAACACCAAATGTCACCATAGATTCAATTATTACAAAAATTGAGAATAAGGATTTTTTTTTTCTTGACATTTATTGTGAAAGTTTCCAATGTTTAATTCATAATGTATATTACAAAATATAGGATAGATTTCAATTCCCTGCAACATTATGTACTATAAAGTTTAATATTATATTTCCCCTTAGACTGATATAGAAATTAACATTATAATTGTTAATCTTCCACATGACTGGGGAAAGAAAACTCATCATAAAATCATGTTGATGCATTATAATAAAATAACAAAATTGTGAAATAATGGTATGAATATTCTCTAAGTATCAACACAGGTTCAGTCTTCAAGTCTAAGTTACAGTTTGTTTCCATATTATTATGTTTTGTTTTCCATATTTGGGGGTTATGTTTGGGTTTATGGGGAGTAGGGAGGCGGTCCAGCATGCCTGATATTATTACTGATATTAGTTGTATTATTTAATGCATTTTGTACTATAATAATTATTAGGAATGATACACCATCAGGAACACTCTATTGCTGCACCTTCTGCTGTGGAATTTCTTTCACTTTTCCATTAGACGCTCACCCAGTCTCCACTCCTTCAAAAAAATCATCAAAAGCTTTTACTTTTTCACAAAAGCGTATCAAACTGTTAACTGTTAATGGCTCCCAACTTGTTCCTCTTCTGCAACTGTCATTTTAAAAAAAACACACTAAGTCTTCATTGAGTACTATTCTACCAATCTACCTCCCTAATACTAGCCTTACCTTTTGTGTCATTTTACCCCACTCCCTCTAGCACCTAAGCACATTGAGCAGGGCCCTCAACCCCTCTGTTTCTGTGCCCAACTTGTCTGGTTAAAGTTACATGTTTCTTGGACCACCCATTGTACAGCGCTAAGGAATTTGTTGGTGCTATATAAATAATAATTATTATTATTCTAGGAGGAAACAGTGAAACCTCTGTTATGTGTCAAACAGTTTTCAAATTGTTTGACACAAAGCTACAAGGTTATTTACTAAGGTGAGTTTTCAAAGCAAATTTTAAGGCCAGATTAGCCAAACTAAAAGCATAGCTGACGGAGATAATTTTTTCAGTTTGACTATTTTGACCTTCAATTTGAAATTCTTTCTGAACTCACTTTGAATTCTCACATTATTGAATAACATTGCAAGAGTCTCCAGAGCACTCTCTGGCCAAGCTCCTTGCTGCCCATATCACTGATGCACATTCATATTACCAATATCAGTTTTATCCAAGTTTGGATGGCACTTGTTAGCTTAGGGTGTCATCTGAAAGCACTCATCCAATACATTCTGTCCAAATACAGATGGGATTAATATATTCATATTGATAATCAGAAGTGACATGGGGTCCTTCAGTTTGTGTCAAACTACTTGAAAACATAGCTTGGCAGCAAACTGGAGAGTAGTGCCTCGGAGATTCAGGCCACATACTGGGAGATGATGTCACCTACCATTATAATATACTATACATGCTATTTATCGTATAAAATGTATATGTAAGATTTTTCTCCAGGCAGGGGTGTCAATGACGTTCAGCTGACGCTCTAAGCCATTCAGCAGCTCACCGTTCCTTATAAAACAAAGTATGTAATGTTGATTGACTTAACCCCTAAAGGACACATGACATGTGTGACATGTCATGATTCCCTTTTATTCCAGACGTTTGGTCCTTAAGGGATTAAAGGGTCATTCCAACCACCATGACCACTTCAGTGATTTAAAGTGGTCATGGTGGTAGGAGTCAGTATGTGCAGTGTTTCAGCATGAAACACAGCACATACTGAGTTATTGGCAATTATGCACCAGGAGCAAGTTGAAACTCTAGAACATGTGATCTGGCAGCCCAGAAATCTGTTCCAGGCTGCCTTATGTCAATTCTTAGCATGTACGCGTACACTGCAGACAACAGATGTTAAAATTGTCCCCTTGCAGGCGCTATCTCTTCCCTCCCACCTCTCTTCATGCTAATTGGTGGGGCATTTTAGAAAAACCTCCCTCCTACCCACTCCCTCCGTTTCCCTCCTGCCCCTCGCTGGTTCGGAACATGTGTATGCACTCAGAGCCAGCAATTTGTATAATCACAGGCCTCTCTGTGAGAAGCCTGTGATTGGACTGCATGCAGCCCCAGTGATGTCCAATGGGATATGTAAAACGAGCGCCGGGAGCTTACTTTGGATTCCAGGTAAGTAACATCTTTTATTCTTGAGTTTTACAACAAATTGAAAAGGTCCCCCCACTAAATAAGGTTATAGTAACCCTTTAAAACAAAAGCTGTTTGCATTAAGCCAATCAGCAGTGCCCCCTGCTTGTAAGGACAGTCTGTGCTTCCTCCAGCTGAATTTCGGAAACCGGATGTCGATAGGGACAGTGAGATACAGCTCTAGAGAGACAAGGTTGGAATTAAAGAAAGTACCAGGGACGTCCTGACACCATAAGAGCCTTATTTTGATGAAGTTATTATGGTGCCTGGGTGTTCCTTTTAAATGTAATGATTTTCACAAGGAATTTCAAAAGTTAGTATCTCTGTTTATCTTTTATTATTATGTATTGGTTGTGTTTGCACATTTTAATAAGTTTGTATACAATTAGTTAAATAGAAATGTAACAAACGGCATTAGGATTCCTGGTTTTCAAATGACTATTGTCAAAAGACAACTTTACTAGTCTTGTATATACTTCTATATATCTGCTGTATATCTTCTTAAATGATATTTACTAAAGCAAGAATTAAAATGAATTCAAAGGGAATCTAAAACATAAGGCTAGAGTAGCCAAACTGAAAGCATAGTTGATTTTAAAAAAATGTTCAGCTCAGCTTTTTTTTACCTTAAATTGAATATACTGTAAATGTTCACTTTGGTAAATAACCCTGTTAGACTTCTAATTTATCTATCTACCTGTATCTGCAGGTGTCAATGTTGTAGTTACAGGTAAAACAGCAGAACACAAGGATCCTTTTATTAACCTTCCTCGCGGTCAGCATTTTTTAATCCAAAATGCTCTAGTTCCACCTGATCAGATATGGTTCTTTCTGTCTAAACTTGTGGCAGTTAACATAAATATTATACTTTAATATAATGATTCCCTCTGGATTGACTTTTTCCCATTTATTTTCTGGTAGATCCTTCACTTGTCTTGCCTGCTTTTCTTTCCATGTTCTATCCCATTGTTTTTTTTATTTTATTTTCATTTTTTGTTAACTGGTTTAAATTGTCAATTCTAAACATGAATTTAAAATCTGCAAACGTCCTCTATATTGTGATTAGCTGCATAGTTGAAAAATGTTCCTAAAGCCCTCTAAATAAAAAAAAGGATATATTTAACATAGTTTTATATTATTGCTGTCTGTTGTTACACATTGTGTTATTGATTGGTTTACTCTATCTATCTTTTTTTTTTTTTTTTTTTAAGCAGCTTTCTACAGATTGTCATTTAGTAGAACTATGATTCAAAAATCAAGAATTTACTTCATTGTTGCAGATGTGCAATTGTGTGTCTCTGAAGATAAGAGAAGAGCAATTGAAACACATTTAGTCTCAGAACTTTGGAAAACAAAAATGTAGGAGATTATGGTATGTAGCCTTGTGCTGCCCTCAAGTGGAAATCCTTGGCAATGCATTGTTGTTTTTGCAACATGAAAGATTTTAGTGGATGAGCAAATTAGTTGTTCATGGTGCTTATTATAATAATTATTATTATTTTTAATATTGTATGTAAATAGTGTGAATGAATACTGCAGCTGTTTAATGTGAGGATATAATATGCAAACTATTACAAACTGTATGGAAAACAGTTGGATATACAACAGCCACACTGGACCCCAGGGAGAGGGTCACCACTGGACCCCAGGGAAAGAATCCAGCTATCCCAATGCTAAGGAGGGTGGGTGGACTTAAATACAAATAAAAAATAATAATTTGTGAGTGTATGAGAGAATGTGTCTGTGTGTGTGTGTGTGTGTGTGTGTGTGTGTCAGTATCAGTCTGTATGTGTGTCAGTGAATGTCTGTCTGTCAATGAGTGTGTTTGTGTCTGTCAGTGAGAGTGTGTGTCAATGAATGTGTGTCTTTCTGTCTGTGAGCGTGTGTATGTGAGTGAGCGTATGTGTATCAGTGAAGGTGTGTGTCTGTCAGTCAAAGTGTGTGTTGGTCTTAAACAGGAAGAGGTGTGTCCTCCTTGGGGAAAACTTAGATTAGAAGTGTGCCTGAGTTTAATCATGCCAAGGACAGAACAAAACCAAAATACACAACTGCATGCATCACTTTGAGACAACTGTCTCATTTAAAACTTTACATTTGAGTGTCAGTTGTCGCACTCTGCAGGCTGAAAAATGTACAATCTGTCAGTTGGGGCCCCAGACTGAAATTTGAACTACGAGTAGGTAGTCATTGCCCTTTAAATTATTTGAATGCCGCAGTAGCGTGATTGTGCGGCCACGGTAAATTTCAAAAAATTATATAGGCACCACACAGCCTGGCACATTGTTTCTCTAAGTCAGGGAGGACCTCGTGATCTGAAAATATCCTGGTGAGGTCCTCCTGCTTGCCCCATGTAGCAAGATCAGTGCTGGACTCTCCCTCTCATGCTTCAATCACACTGTACAGAGTGCTCACAGAGGTTTCTGTACTGTGCAAGCTGACATCTGCTGATGTCCGTTCTGACATATATACAGAGAGTACCAAAGGAAAGCCCTATGTCTCCTTTTAAAAATGATATATAATAGGTATGGTGCTCTAAGAAAGAAAGGGGGAAATTGTGGTAGAAGTAACACATGGAAAGAGTACCAAAATGGCCTTGGTCACAAACACATCGCATCACAAAAATACTTTGGTCCTTAAGGGGTTAAAAATGTTTGCTTGCTGGTTTAAAATGAATAATTATCAAGTGATGCATGTCCCATTAACCTGTTATGGGAAGCAAGTCTATGCTTTCGAAATAAGGGTATGCAGGAGAGGTGGGTCTTACAGCAAGTGTAACACCTACTTAAAACATGATTGATGCTCTCCGGGATATTGGAAATAAACTAAAATATGACATTTTAATAGTACAAAAGAGATTCTATCTCAGTGAAGTGGTTTGGGTGTCATGTCACTCTTGTTTCACTCTGACAACCACAAGAAGTCCGTCCCCATAAATAGCCAATTAAAACTCATATAGACTATCTATGCATCATGTTCCAGGCTGGCTAATGATGCCCCAATCGTGTTGTCAGATATGGGGCTTCACATCCAGTAGCAGAGGTGTTAAACTCTGTACGGGCAGTGTTCCATCACAAAATAATACACATACAAACTTCAGGTACCATGACCACGTCAAATCACTGAAGTGCTCATGGGCGCTGTCCACTCAGTTTATATCAAATAATTTGGAGCGGCTGTTCAGTGTTCATGTAGAGGTTAACCTTTACATGATCCCAGAAGGCAGGCATGGCACCAAGTTGTAGATCTTGGAAGAGTTTATCAAACTGATCAAAGAGGAATTGACAGAAACCAGAAGATGACATCCCCAGACTATCTGCTCTATAACGATCACAATAAGCTGCAGTGGGTATGACAGATTTAGGCTTATATATTCCAGGCAGCTTTAGACCTATGCCAATCATAAATATTTGTTTATGTGTTTCAGTTTTTTTGTTTGTTTTTTTGGTTTTTTTTTTAAGCAGGTTAAATTTATGCAACAGAGAATATCCTGAATGCTTATCTGCAATAATTTCTTATTAGTAAAAGCAGAACATCAAACAGAAGGCTCATACAAGCGAATGATTACAGCACTCACCGCAAGATCAATTCTCTTTGCTATGCGTGTTTCTTTGTAGGTTACAAAAATAAATTTGGGAGACAATAGAGAATGTGAGTTTCATAAAATAAAAAAGATAAAAGAAAGTCATTGGTGCAGTCTACAAGGGCATACAAAAGAAGAAGAGAATATAATAAACAGAAAATAATTATACACTGAAGATATTTTGATAATTGCTTTATTAAATTTCAGTCGATTTTTTTATTGTAAAAAAATATAATGAAAGCTGTGCTGCATGCATATCATGCTAAATTAGGTTTATGAATTGTGCTTCAACAAAGAACAAAGTGACATCGAATGTAAATGATGATGGGACCCGAATAGTTCATTTAAGATGTCTATTTAAATCTTATGTTTACTTTTAAAGATCTGTTTTAAATATTTTAATAAGGAAATGTAAAAACATCAGTGGAAAAGCTGAATATTTATAAATGTCTAGATCATTAGCTTTTTGGAGAAAAACGTATTCATGTTCAGTTGTTTCTTTTCACAAATCCTAAATGCATCCCTATACAAACACAGGCAAAGCACCTCACACACACAGATATTTCAGTGCTTCAATAACTTATCAATGCTACTTACAATCTTCCCAGTAAATCTTCTTTACATTTTTTTACGGGACAATGGATTTTCTTAGCACGTAATGAAAGGCTGTTCTCCCAGAACATGTTGCCTCAAGGCTTTATAGGATATCTCAAAGAGATTTAGAAATTATTCCAGAGAAGTCATACATATATCAATATATTTAATTCAGAAGGATACTACAAAATCAGAATACTATTTTAATATCATTAAAGGACCCTATTTCCTCACCGTGAATTGGTTATAGTTACTTGAAGTTCCTGGGCAATGTCGCTCAATTCAGAGTTAGACCATTTTTTGAGCAGTTTAACACTGAAAGAGGATTCCTGGCTTCCCACAGCCCCGTTACCCCTGGAGGTATAGCTAGGGCAGAGAATAAACATATCTTTGTAGCCATAATGATTTATCAGCTGACACTCTCAACCAATCACAAACATTAAAAATGGTTTAATGCGGAATGGAAGGACAGTGCCAGGGGACTCCAGACATGGTAACCTTTCAGCGAGATGAAGCAGACACTTTCAATTCAGTTTCCCTTCAAAAGAAAAGATAAAGAAAATGAGAAAATTAAAAATGCACTCACACAATATATCCTCTCTAGAAACACTGTCCCCAATACTCACACATATTATTGACCCTATACTCAAACACACATTTACACACACATACTACAGCCCTTACAAACACAGCAGCCTGTATACACACACATACTACTTCCCATAGACATACAAATGCATACAAACAGGCCCTATACACAAACATACACTACAGCCCCTATCCCCTTCACACACACTCCTAATCCAATCCATATGTACTTTACCACAAATAGCTCTCACCACTCATACACTACATTATAAACTTCACCTACAAACACACAATACCGCAGCTAGACGCTCTAAACACTATACCACATTTGGTCATCTGTCCAAATACACCTCTTTACAAGCAGAGGCATAACTGGAAACCAAGGGGTGCCAGGTCAAAAATTGCCCTGGACCCCTCATGTGTCTCAATCTCCCTTAGTCCCTCCATGTATCTCATCCCCCCCCCCCAGTTTCTCCATGTGTCTCATCTCCCCTATCCCCTCCATGGGTCTCATTCCCTCCCCCCAGCCCCTCCATGTGTCCCATTCCCTCCCACAGCCCCTCCATGTGTCTCAGTTTCTGCCTCTGTCCCTCCATGTGTCTCATACCCCCAAACTCCCTCCAAGTGTCTCATTCCATTCAGCCCATTCATGTGTCACATTCCCTCCCCCCAACCACCTCCATGTTTGTCATTCCTTTCCTCCAGCCCCTCCATGTGTCTCCTTCCTTTCCCCAGCCCATCTACGTGTCTCAGTTCCTCCCCCCAAGCCTCTCCATGTGGATCCGTCCCTAGCCCCCAGTCCCTCCATTTGTCTAATTCTCTCCCCCACCGCCCCTCAATGTGTCTCCCCCTAGTTCCTCCATGTGTCTCATACCCCCAAGCTCCTCCATGTGTCAAATTCTCTCTCTCCAAGCACCTCCATGTGTCTCAGTCCTTGCCCCAATCCATCCATGTGTTTCATTTCCTCCCCCCAAACACCTCCATGTTTCTCCGTCCATTCCCCCTTAGTCCTTCTATGTGTATCATTCCCTTCCCTAAGCCCCTTCATGTGTTTCCCACTAGCCCCTCCATGTGTCTCATTCCCTCCCCCAAGTCTCTCCATGTGTCCCATCATTCCCACCCTTGCCAGTCCTTCCATGTGGCCCATTCCCTCCCTCGCCAGCCCCTTCATGTGTCCCATTCCCTCGCCCCTCCCTTCTTGTACCTGCGCTTCACAGTACCATGTCCAATCTGACAGGAAGTGCTCTTTCAGTCTTCTCTAGGTCCACTCAGCCCTTCCTGTTGGTTATCCTACAACTGTGTGCAGCAGTGTACCGGCCCAGAAGGAATGCAAGTGGACAACAGTCACAGGGGTTCGCAGAGGAGTGATGGACCTGGTAGCAGTTGCAAACCTTGTGACAGTGGTAGTTACACCACTGTCTACAAGTAGTCTCCACATACATATACACACATATGCAACATACAGCCTCCACACACAACAACACAAGTAGCCTTCGAATGAATGCAACAGTCCAAGCAGTGTTAGTCGATATTAGCAGTACGTTGCACAATGCATTCAAATGTCGCGTTTAGAGTTATTATACCAGTTTAACATTTTGAACTTACTTGGTGAAGATCTGTATGCTAATACTGAATCAACTACAAAGTAATGACAGCCAAAACTATGTTCAGACTCTTTTTTTTTTTTTTTTGTGGTGGCTACTTTCTTTCTTGATTCACTTGACTTACTAATATACTAAATGACACACATTATTCTTGTTTCTTTTTATTTAAATAGCTAGCAATAACTTAATTTAAATAGAACTTTCACCTTTTCATGGTTATTGTACCATGTGTTTGTATGTCTCATATAATTGGCTTAATGTGGCATTAACAGTTTGATAGTATAAGTGCCACCAAGTGGTGTAATTTCAGCTTACATCAATTACCATTCATAGTGATTTCTGATCCATTAATTCTGTCTTACTTTGTTATATAAGGAATTTAATTAAGGCCAAGATATTACATTTCCAATATTCCAGAAGATTTCTTATCAGTACTTATAAAATGTTGTTGTATCTTCCAAACATTTGCTCTAAATATAGGTAGAGTACAATTAGACAGGCCAGGCTTGTGTTTAGCATACAATTTATGACGTTGAAAACAACAAAAGGTCAATCAGAAAAGTACACATTTTGTTTATACATGTATGTAATCTTTATATTTGTAATTGAAAGATTATTCTCTTCTCCAAGGCAACTTGATAT